CCCATAAAAAGGGGTAGTGAAGACTGACTCCTTGGGACGCCCTCTCCATATGGACTAACACCACGCCACACCACCCAGAGGCCCTGCCAGCGACCTCCCTCTGTAAAACACCCACTGAACAAAGACCCCTTTCCAGCCTGGATAGGTAGCTGTCACCCCATCCCCTCTTCAACCAAGGACTTAGATTCTGCTTCTCTTTCCTACCTGGACTCCTACCCTTTCACTGAGTCTCTTTCTCCTGCTGCCATTGTGAGTGATTGTGTGTGTGTGTGTGTGTGTGTGTGTGTATGTGCATGTGTGTGAACCAATAACTTCATGGGGCTGTGTAGTGTGTTGTCTGTTTAATAAAACAGTTATTTGGACCCCTGAGTTGGGTTTTGCTTTACTACATTTCTGGCCCTGCTCCAATCTCTGCTCCTCACCCCTCTAACTTCTGTCTCATTTCTCCCTCTCCTGCTTCTGGCTCACCGCCACCTCCAACACCTGTCCTGAGCCTGCGAACCTCCTGTTTCTTTGCCACTGTCTTATCCCCACTGCCTTTTTCCCTGATCTCTGCCACTGTTATTGCCTTGTCCCCACTGCCTTTTCCCCTGAGCTCCCAGGTTTCTGCTTCAGTTTCTTTCCTGGTTATCTCCTCCATGACACTGTGCTTTTTCCCTTGCACCAATGACCTCGAGTAACCCTGGGGCCACTTAACTTTAAATAACCCCAAACCTAAGTTCCTCAGCCAGCTTCTCTCTAGTCTACTGGCTCTAATCCCAGTTCTGGCAACTTTCACTCCCTGCACTTTAACGCTCTCTCTCACCTTAAACTTCCCTCAGGTATCCCAGGTACCCCAAACACACACATACACACACTGTACCATCCAAATTAGAAACTTACTTGTGTGTATGTATAGGTGAGTTGTATGTGTGTGAACTGGTGAGTGTGTGTCATTGTGTGCATGATATATGAGTTAGTGATCTGTGTATGTGTACTGAGTGTGTGGGTATTGACAACTGATTGTTGTCTAATTTTTTGGTGTGTATGTGCTTGAATTGGTGATAGGTATGCATGTGCCTAGGCTGGTTTGGATGTGTATGTGCCTGAGTTGTTTGTGTGTGTGTATGCACCTAATTGATTTGTGTGTTTGTAAATGTGCAATTGTGTCACACCCTCCTGTCTAACAGGTCAACAATAACACAGGGGCAGAGAAGCCCAGGGCTGGAGACCCATGGCCCAGGGCAGGAGCACTCAAGGCCTTTCAGCCATACTCATCAGGGGAGGGCTTCTGGTCCAAAAAGGTGAAGACCTACTCAGCTAGGGCTTTGCAGATCTGGACAGGGCCAGGGCCATTAGCATCAGTGGGGGGGAATACATGCATCCAGGACACACACACACACACATAGAATATAGGCATCCAGGACACACATAGACACATGAAACCGAGGTTCCCAAAACATATCCCCACACACAGAACTCCAGGATCCAGGACACACACATATACATGCACAGAGAACACAGACATCTGGGACAGACATACACACAAAACACAAGTGTCTGGGATACACACACACAACATCCAGGCATCTGGAACAGACGGACTCTCTCTCACACACACACACACACACACACACACACACAACCCAGGTATCCAGGACACACACACTCCCTCTTGCTCAGAGGTGTCCAGAACATGAGTGCACACACACACAACTCAGGCATCTGGGACACGGACACACACACAAGTCTTCAACAGTCCAGAGAGCCCATGGGGCACATTGGGAGGCATGCAAGAGCTCCCCCTACCTGCTCAGGCCATGCAAGCAGGCTCTGAGCTTCCTCCTCTGTCTTCCTCTCCCTCCACAGGGGCTAACATGTTCTTCTTGCTCCCAGCCTAACCCTGGGTGCTTAAAGTAAAGCTCAAAAGTTCAAGTGCTTCTGCCTCAGGCTTCTTGAATGCCTGTACTTAGCCTTAGGCATCTATGAACTTCAGGTGCCTCAGGATTTGGCTGCAACTGAGCAGAGAGTTTTAATGAGTGCACATTTAAATGTAGGTACCAAAAGTAGTTCTATGTTCTGTTATGCATCTAGCCCTAAGCTAGTTTATTATTTTAATGAGGACCAATACACTCAGACTGCTTCTCTAAGAAAAAAGAGGTAGAGATCAAAAGCTAATCTTTCACTCACTGGCTCACCTTGACTATTTAACTACAGTCACGAGCAAAGAGGAAACTAGCCTCTTCTCTCTCCATTGCAACCAGAGTCACACTAGGAGCAGGACCAGCCATTGGAATAATCTGATCTTCAATGCTGATGTTTCTTATTGGCAGTCTTATACTGTTAAAGAAAGTGCAAATTTTCTCACTTCTGCTCCACTGGCAACATTATATACTCTCAAAATCAACTGAGCACCCATTTCCAAAAAGGTACCTTGGGGCTGCCTATAAAATAATCCAGTAATTGAAAATCATAAACCAAGGCCAATAGCTCAGCTGCACACCCCCAAGGTTAAAAAACTTTAACTCACCCATCTGTTCAAAAGTCTAGCAAGAAATGGGTAATTAAGAAATTATAGATAATATCATCTCAACAGGAAGAATTTACAATGCACTTCAAAAAGGACGTCCTAAGGGAAGAAGCGCCTATAAAGTGTAATCCTAGCTCAGTCCAGATGACTTTACTTTTCTAAAATACAATGTGAGATTATGGCAGTCAAAAGGTGGGAAAATAGTCTTCTAAGTACCTCAGTAAAATTCCTGGCATCTAAGAGTTGTCCTCCCATCCTCACTTCCTCAGTACGGAGGAGTCCTGGGTTTCAATTGTAGTTCCCAAAATGATTCATTACTTTTTACAATAATTATTAAGCGGGGACTGCACAAACGCTCTTTTGATCAGGGGCTAGTACCCAGAATACCCACAGGGGAGTTTCCTAGCCACTAGGCAGCACACATACACTTTCTTATTCTGGTGGCATGACTTTCATATTCTTGACTAAACAGTGGCACAGTTTCAAGGAGAGCAGAGAAGACTGACCCCTACACATACTACTCTTTAGCTCAGTAGTTAGAGCACTCCCATGGGATATGTGGGTTTGAATCCCCTTAGGCTCAGGAAGGTACTAAACCCCTGGCTTCCACTCTGGGCCTCTGTACATGTGATGAAGGGCTCTTGTACACATAACCAAATTGCCCCTTTTATCAGTTTAATTGCCCTTTTTAGTCATTTAATTGCATCACAGTGTACATATGTGGCAGCATATTAGAATTAAATTTCATAACTGTACCCCTGCAGCAGTGTATTTTAATTTAATTGACTTTTTATGTAGCAAAATAAAACACATTTGTTGTATTTTAGTCTCGTATGTAACAAAGTATAGCAATACAGCCGGAGATGGTAGCGGGGATGGTGTATGGGGTGCTGGAAGCCCAGGCATGCTCAGAAAAACTCAGGCTTGCTGGGGTTCCAGTGCCCCATGCTCCATCTCTGTCGGAGCAGGTCCTTTGTATCATACACAATGGGCCTTGAAGGAGACTTTGCCAGAAACAGGCTTTCAGAAATCATTAACCCTTGTCGTTGCCCTGGACCATTATTCTAATGCAATGTCTACTTCACCTATAAGCCAATTCCCAAAAGCGAACCTCTAAATACCATTTTCTAGCCATCAGTATTCAGACATATCCTGCACTATCTCCTATTGGCTAGGCTTACCAAGTTCTCTCTTCAGCATGTGACATTTTGAATCATCTCTAGTGGACCTAACTTTCCTCACAAAGGTGGAGCCTATGTTGCTACCTCCAGGTTTGGGATTCCACTCTGGGGGTTAAATGACTAAAAGTTAGGCACTGTATTGCCTAATTTTAAAGGAAAGGATGGCATTAGTCCTTTATTTGTTGGAAGTGCCAAATTACTTTCTCTCTTTCCAAAATTCTTGTTGACAGAGTTCAAATGAAAATGAAATGGAAATTAATTATTTAATTTACATAAACTGTGATATTTTGTCCTTATATTAATAAAATTATTATTCATATTATTTAAGAATCATTTCAACCAGTTTATTTGGTGTGCAGCAAAGCTGACTAGTCTGAAATTTTCAGAATCACTAGCAACACCTTTTTTACTTAGGTGAAGTAAACAGTTGAAACCCTCCTGCACAGTAGCTGATTAAGATATCATATATCATATATATCATTATTCATAGTATATTACTATCATTTATCAAGTATATTATCATTATTTTATATCAACATATATTTTGTTGACATATCAACCATTTCATTGCTTCACAATTCTTGGAAGAGTTCTGCTGGTTTCTACAGACTTACTGATCTATATCATGGCTCTTTGGTTTCCTCAGTCTTTGGCAGTATCAAATCATCATTACCTGAAAAAAAGCTGGTATACAGTACATTTTTAATAAAAATGCGGATGGCTTAAAACTTAAAACAGCCCCCAGAGTAGAACCCCAAACCCAGAGTTAGAAACATAGGCCCCATATATCAGGAATATGCTTAGATATTCACAGTAGTCAACCATAACACTGACTGCGTATCAACCTACTCAAATCAGAACTGGTTAAAAGGCACAATGTCCCAACGTATACAAAATTAGCTTCAAAACCCAGCTAAACCATAAGCTTCCTTGAGCAGGGAAGGCCATTGGGTAGGTCTTTCTTTTTAGCACATTGTGCATTGTTGCAAAGTTTTTCAAGATACTGTTTTAATAATCTGCAAAAACATGTTTGGTATGGTTTAAATATCTTTGCTACTATCTATTCATTTTTTAGTGCAAACAATATGTTCAGTGCTGTATGAGGCACAAATATGAAGTCAGTGCCAAAGGTTTAAAATCTGCCGGAGCCCAAAGAGGAAGACTGAATGCAGGGTTCTGAGGTGTGTTATTCTATTCATATCTTATACAATAGCGATCATGTCTGAGCACTTTCCAGAAGTGCAACAAACAGAATATGAATCTGTCATGTGAAGCATTTTCCTCTTCCTGGGGAGAAAATTGTGTGGATTATGACTACTGTTTGTTTCCAAGGTGTATTATGCTATTTTTTTTAATAATTAAAAGTGAAGTCAGTAAGTGTAATCTGAAAGGAGATGAGCTTATTGCTGATTCTTAAATCCTGGGGGAGTTGGCAGATATGCTATAGTCAACTTGTGTCTAAGATGGAAGATAGGGGAGGGGAGACTTACATATTGAGACTTGTGTTATGATGAAAACTTTTCCTAGCATAGCTGCTGAAAAATGACCCTTCTACTGCTCATGGTACAGAATATGAATATTTTTCCAGTAGATTAACTTCTTCTGTTTAATCAGAATATACAGGTAAGAATTTAACAGTAGCCCTCATATTTTTCTAGACTCTAGCAGAAAATGCCATGCATATTTTAAATTGTGGGTTTCTAATATTCCTTCTTATTAATATTCAACACAGTGACAAAATGGTAAGCATGAACTCCTTTTTGATTATTTATGGAAAATACTTGAAAAATAAATGAAGCTGAAATTCTGTCTTCTTTCATCTGAATGATGTTTACTGTATACTGACAGGATGTCATACGTGAAAGGCAAAGCTTTGGCAATATATAAATCAACCTGCTACCTTCTGTTGCCTTTTGAATCATCTTGGAGCACTTTAAGGAACTACTGCATGCAGCTTATGTATCAGGACAGAAGAGAGGTTCTCCCTATTCTGTACATAATCTAAAACAATGATTTCGTCAATGATCTCAGCAGGACTACTTGGCTTGCTTGCCTGCTTTAATTCAGCCATGCCACAGTAGTATGTTGGCAATATACTAAATGTTAAGTGGTAAGGTAAGAATGTTTGATGCAAGGAGTGAAGAGTGAATTGGCAGACTTTAACCAAGAGTAATATAGATAAAAAGGTGAAGACGCTTTCTGAAGTGAAATCTTTAGTCAATTCAATAGCAGTCTCCAGATTTCTTTGAACACAAGACCAGCAAATGTGGACCATGTGGTTGTTATTAAATCATTGTGTTGTTTCTTGCCTGAGAGAACAGGTAATCTATTTAGGTCCTTTTTGAGCATTTAAAAGCATTATATATCATTCCTGATCCTGACCTCCAAGCAGGTATTTTGCCAACCAACACATTGGAAAATGTACAACAGCTAACCTTAACAGAACCTCATTCTTTCAGTAGAATCATGCAGTCGAAGATAGCTGATTAGATTTTACCTTAGTTGGAACGTAAAGTAATTTATCCCTGCTGCTTCGGGTGCCACTAGCAAATGCCAATGTAATTACATACATAACTCTAAGACAAGTGATTTGTATGCAGCCTATTGGAATTTCATGTCTGCTCTCTATTCTAGTCCCATGCTTCCTCTGAGGATTTGTTCTCTATCCAGCAAGACCTATTCATTTTATAATTATGCACATCGTCTCAACTGTTACCTTTTATTTATTGCCTTGATTTTCTGCAAGACTAACTTATAAATTAGTCTAAAGTATTTCTTACTAAAATGTGGTTCCAAAGAGCCACAAAGCAAGGGCTTAGTTTCATTTAATGAAGTGGAAGCTAACTGTTTCATCCCAGAAATTTTAAGTTTCTTAGGCTGCAAGCTGGAAACAATATATCATCTGCCTTGAGTCCTTCATTGGCTTCACTTCTCATCCATAACAAATTTAAACTGCAAGGCCCTACACTACACTGTCCCTGCCTGTGTCTTGGTTTCATGTTACAGTTCTCTTTCCCCATTAGTTATTGTACTAATTTTTAACTGCAAAGAAGGTACTAATACAAT